ACCCTAAAACAATATGTTTAAATGAAAAGGAACATTTTGCCCCATATTTCTTGACAGAATTGAAGACAGCAGCATGGCACTTCTGGTTGATCGTCTTCAAAATCTGGATGATCAGCAACTTTATTTCATTTTGCTTGAAAGTGAGTAAAATTATGACCTAAGACTACCAAGCAGCTGTGAGAAACTGCAAAATATGTGACAGTGGGACAAACAATTAGTCTTCAGCATAATTACATCATAATAGGTGACATGATTGGATAGGTTACAGTAATTAAAGTGATGAAAAGTGCATATTCATCCCCTGTATGGCTCTCATTAGAGTTACACCCGACTGCTGCTGTTGTAGTGAATGAGGCTACATATCCTCTCAGTCTTCAATTACCCCATAGGCATCTCCTGCCAGTGCTGGTAAGGGCCCTGCTGCTGCTCCCACCCAGAAAAGACCTATCATTGTCTGCTGCTGCTGAAAATAAAAAAGTCTCAAAGCATGATGCAGTTGGGTTTTCACTCCCAAAGATTGTTACCCGAATTTATTGCCCACAATTTCTCCTTCCATGTTCTTAAGGTCTAAGAATATTTATGGTCTCTCCCCAGTGGAGATTTTTGCTAGCAGTGTAATTGCATAATGCCAGTATTACGGTTCCAACCCATCCGTGCGGGTGTGGCCAGCAACCTGTGCCAGTACAAGTTAAACTGTTTCTTCTATCTGAAGTTTTCTTCCTGTCTGATTTTTGCTTCATGTTTCTGCTAAAGTAACGAATTGCTCGGTCATTGTGTATCCTCGTAGTCACTTGCTCAGAACTACTCTAAAAGTGGAAATGTTATTTTACTAACTCCTTTCACTCCTGTGCACTTCCATACCTGGGCAGGGATGCTTGCAGTAAGCATGGGTGGAGGTTGGTGATGTGAGACTCACCAGGATCAAAGCTGGCTCTGACAAGGACAGCCCAGTCACACAACTTGTTAAAAAAGGAGACCATTTTTGCAGCAGTAGTTAGGTGAATATCCAGAAGCCCAGATGAATGCTAGAGGTCAGCTCATCTCCAGCTGGTTTAAATGGTGTACAGACTTAGAGGGTAGCCTTACACTGGTTGAAATGCTTTTGCTGCTCCATGGGCATGGCCTTAGACTTCTAGTAATATAAACACTGCACAGTATACCACGTCCATTAAATAAATACACAAGTGTGTCTGAAGGAACTTGCCATGCCACAGCCTTGCAACAGCGCTGACTTTGCTGTACCCTAACCATTTTTAACAGAAGGCTCATACCATATTCAAATGTTGAATCTAGACACACCTCAGGCTTTTATTTTATAGTATTTTCTGATTATTATTATTTTTTCTTTAATAGAACAACCATACACACTGCTGGTAGAATGCAGTACCTGAATACACAGAGATCAGCAACCAGAGTATTTTGTTCTCAGCTTTATCCTGTAAATCCATCATAATATTTGTTTTGCACCAATGACAATGCAAAACCTGGCCCATGTATAAAGGCTGTTAGAAGGTCTCTCAATCTGCAAACTATTTGCCTGCTAAATTATGAGATTAACATACTTTTCAATGTCTAGAATTGTTCTTTTGCTTCATAATTTGTAACCTCAGGTCCTCTCTAACTCATTGTGCCTTCCAGTTCCTCCTCTTTCTTTTACTGGGTCAGCAAAGAAAGTCCTTACAGCTTATGAAACAGGAACTTTCTTGTCAGCTGCACAAAAGCAAGACTGCTGCAGTAAGATGAAGTTTAAACCTCTTTGTATAAATAAGGTTTTTTGTCTTTTTTTTCCTAGAACATGTATGAAACAAGATGCTTTTGGAAGAAAGTATATATACGGTGTCAAACTTGCAAGATAAGCTTAGGTAAACTCTTCAATGTGTTTTTCCCTCCTCCTCTGCCCCAGACAAGCTACCAGCTTAATATCCCACAAAGCACACAAGGATTCTCAGTATATAACAGTATGTAACAAGTATAGGTAAGAATGTAAATCTGTCAAGGTTTTGACTGTACAGGCCTACAAATGAAACCTACGTATGACCCCACCATACTGACCAACCACCTTCTAAAATGTTTTGAGCTGACTTTGTCCTGACATCCTGTTTTGCTGTTCATCCTGAGGCAAGGTAGACGTACATGGAGTAAAAACATAGTTTCTCATTTGCAGGTGGCTGTGCAGTAAAGGTATCCATATAATGAATACTAGATGAAGCACATTATCCAGTTGTAGATGACTCAGTTAAATACATTTGCATTAAACACATGAAATACTCCTAATCCGTATGCTTGGAAAACTAACGGTACAAGGGCACATGCTCATGCTCAAAAGTAGCCTGTCTACGTCCTTGGGTGAATCCTGTCTCTTCCAAATTAAGTCAGTGACCAAAATCAGCTGCATTAAGCTGTCAGAAGTCATCTGCCAGGGAGTTTTCATGTTGTGAAGCTCCCATTGTGTGACATCCCCACAAGTTATTAGTCAGGCTCAATGTATGCCTTCTTTCTGAATTAATCTTCTGCCTTGGCTTCAAGTCCTTGCCTTTAAAACTGTATTTATCTAAAAGCCGCTTTTAATTCTCCTCCTTACAAAAGGAAACTTGGAAAAGTACACATGAACAAATGTAGCAACGTGACAGGGGTTATACAAGTCTTCAAATAACAGCTTTGAGAGCTACAGACTACTCCATTCATCTTAATGATTATTTAATTTTGGAAGCTGACAGTAAGTTCCTTGCCTACAGCATATTCCAAGCTGACAAAGAGAGGCCATGGTAAAGTAATGTGAATTTAATATAAAAATAAATAATATAGAAGCTTCTGCACTGATTGTGTTATTTATTATCCTACTGCAGTCAGTAGGAAAGCAGTGCTCCGACACCTACTGCAGTTTCCACCTGAGCATTATACACATTTGCAGTGAGAAACATGTGGCCTTGGACAAGCAACCAGCTCCTGCTGAGCCCAGTGGTGAGAAGATTGAAAAGGCAGCCTGCCTGACCTTCCTTCCACCAGTGCTCTCCTGTACAGTAAACTGCTTCACCAGTCATGAAAGAAAAACAAATACTGCTCCCAGATACTTTACAGCTCCAGTCTCAAGGGCATGACTTATCATTTTGCTACAAATCGTTGTAACAAAAATAACTGCGGAGGGAAGAATTCTCTAACTATCTGTCCCAGAGGGCACTGCAAAGCCTCCAACACCCAGAAGGAGAAAGCTTCCTTTCCCAGTCTCAGCCAACCCACCTTCCTCCTCCGTATGAGCTTCCTAAAGGCATGTGACAGCCAAAACCCCTTCTGGCTTTGCTGCTAACTTGCTTGTACTCATTACCAACCACTTAAGTTTTACCAAGAGCTCATCTCTAGCAACATTATCTGCAAGCAGATGTTTTTGCATATTAACTTGCGCAAGATCGCCAGACCCAGTGTAGCATACTGTTGCCTCCACAAGGTTACTTGAGATTGACTTGCAGGACTTTTCTGCCAGTATTTTTGACAGCCCTTAACAAATGAAACTAAAACCTGCCCTATTATTAAAGAATATATTCTAAATCTCAGCTGATGACACACAAATCAGTACAATTCCCAGTGCCAACCTGTGTATGACTGACTGGTTTTGATTGCCCACTGAGATTGGTACAAATCTATAACCTATCCCTATAACCACAATATTTTCACCATCTCTGTGTTCTTTTTAAATCCAGTCTTGAAATGCTGTGGCAGAGTTTGACTTTCTCATCTCTTCCCCTCCATAATCATCCACATTTGTATGGATTTCTTCCTGACAATCTGTAAGACAAATAGAGGAACAGGCCACTTTTATTCACATGGATGTACTCCTCTTTGAAAGCCTCTCAGCCTTCACAGTCTTGAATCGAGTGACCCATCACAACCTCCTTTAGTCAGAAGGTTGGTGGCATTTGCTGACAAGGTCCAGTGAGGATTAACCAGAGTGCTAAACTGCTGCAGCAACAAACTCTCTGATTTACACCACATCTAACATTTTAGTTTAGATTTCAAACTCTCCTTTGCAAAGAAGGGGTAAGTCTCAAGTACTAAAAACCTGTGTTAAAGACATATAGCAAGAATATAATGTACTGGGTACATGATGAAAAATATGTCTGATCACATATGGTGTCTGAAAAGTTAAAAACCAGACATTAACACTTGCAAAACAAGAGCTCAATTAGAATAAAGGTTTACTAAACTTGACTCCTAAAATATAACAAAATCTTACAATTATCAGCTGTTTCTAGGACATGCAAGTTTTTTACACACTTCAGCTTAGCACAGCAGCGCAGTATTTCTGACCTGCCAGCAATGTGAACCCATCAGCCTCTGCACAGTCAGACGGGCTACTTTGAATTCTCCGGCACACTTTCAAAAGGCCAGCCGCTGGGGCCTATTTAATGTGAGTCTCCTGCGGCTGCTGGCACTGCAGCCACTTCCTTGCCATGCACCTGAGCCCATCCCCCTGCCACAGGTCTTCTCCAGAGCGGGGCAGCTGAGCCCGTCCCACAAGGATAGAGCTGCCCACAGCATCCTTTAAAAGATTCAGAATAAATTCAGCCCAGAACTTTAGTGCACATAAGCAGCTCGCACACGTTGAACACGCGTGTTGCAGCACTGCGTGGAGATGCCGCCCCAGGAGGCGGCGTAGGCGCGGAGAGCCTCAGCCCGATCCCGGCTCTGCCGCAGGGCCCGGAGCTCCCGCCAGCCCCACTCGTGTCCCCACCGCGCCCCTTCTCGCTGTGGCAGCGGTAGCACCGTCGGGGAATCAGCCTGCACGCATAATCCTGTCTGCTTAAAAATATATATCTGTATGTACGTGTACATAAGCGATGCTTGGGGCGGCGAGGGTTTGCGGAACCCCTCCCCCCCAACCGTGGAGACACCCCGCAGCCCCGATGCAGCCGTGGGTGGGAGAAGCAGCACCCGGGGAGCTGAGTAGAGGGGAGGGGAGAGGGGCCGAGCCAGCCCCTCGGTCCACAGCAGGAGGAGGAGATACCCTGCGCTGCAGCCCAATGGGAATAGTGGCGCTTCCCTTTCTCCCGCTTCCTTTCTCCACCCCCAGCTCGGGGCTGGGGAGGCGGGAGGTGGCGGTGCTGCAGCCCAGCCACCGGCGGGGCGCGGGGCAGTGGGAGCCCCGCTCGGCCCCTTTTTCACCGCCGCAGAAATACCTGCGGGGGAGAAGGATGCTGGGGGGCAGTTGCCCCTCTCTGCGGGAGCCGCCCCGGGCAGGAGGAGGAGGAGGAGGAGAGGAAGAGAAAGGAGCAGGAGGGAAGTGGGGAAGTTGCGCCTTGCGCGCCCCGCCGAGAGCTGGAGCCATGGGCCCCGCCGGGGGGGTGCGGGTCGCCCCCTCGCTGCTGCTCTCGCTGCTGCTCGGAGCCTCGGCCCCGCTGTGGCTGCGGGCGGAGAAGCTGGGTGAGTGCGGGGAGAGGGCGGGGGGTTCGGCGTGCGCGGCCCCAGGGGCAGCCCTGAGCCGGGACTAGCGGCGGGGTTATGGGAGGGGGTGTCCCCATTCTCGCCTCGTTTCTTTGCGGGAGCGTAGCCTGAGCTGCTCTCGGGACTGTATATAGTTGACCTGGTTAATCTTCGCCGGGTTTATTCCCGCGTCTGAGTAGCTGCGAGATTAAAGTGTTAACCGGCCTTACGGTAAATGTACACCACGGCTTTCGTGATCTTTCATTAAATAGGACTCTTTCTTTTTAAAGTCAAATGACTGAAGGAAAAGTCTCCGGCAAGTTGCAGGCGGGAGGCGGGCAGCGGCTCCGCCCGGTCCCGCCGCCACCCGGGGCCCGTCTCCGGCCGCGCCTCGGCAGCCCCGGCGGGCGACTCGGGAACGGCGGCCGCGCTTGGCCACCGGCAGCACCTCTGTTGCCCCAGAGCCGGAGCTGGCAGCCTCTGTCCCACAGCTGCGTCCAGGCAAGTCCGTTCTCCCCCTGCGTCGCGGAGAGGGAGAGATGCCCTTACTTGTGCCTTGTGCCGGGACAAACTTTCGTGGGAGTCTCAATTGGGGGGATGTTGCAAGACCTTTTGCGATACTGAGATTTGCTAAAATTAGGGCCCAGGTAATATTCTCTTTATCCTGTGTTTCTGTGCGGCTCACGGTTAAGCTTCCTGTGTAAATTACAAGCGCAGCTGACCTCCTGCTGAGAAGCTGCAACCTTTTGGCTGTAGCATTGCATGGCCTGATGCATCTATTTTAAAAGTGTTCACCAGCAACTGGTAAAATACTTAACACTGGAAATTAATCATCATAATGAGTTTGACAACACATTCGGGCAAATAGTCCCCATATTAACTTTCCAACTTGGCTTCAAATTCCAGAAACCAAGTGCTGTGCATTAGCATTGCATCCAGGCAGTGGTACAAAGTACTTTGTTTGGCTGATTTATGCCTGTTTTCCCCATAACTTCCTATTAATGGAGCTTTCAGATGCAGATCTCCACAGAAGGGAGAACTTGGTATGAGTTGTGTCGCCTTTCCACTTGCCAGCTACATGCCAGCTTTGCTATTCTGTCCTCAATATGTTTCCTCATTTTGAGACTCCAACTTGATATGCTCCAGGAAACACAGATGTAGCAAATTAAAAATATGTCCTCAGTCCCCTCTTTTCATCAGTGTTTTGGAGGTTATTTTTGTTAATTTCCTTTTTCACAAGGTTTGTCTCGTGTGTGATAACATAAAGGAGAAAGTAATTTGGAGAGTCAGTTAGAAATAGTACGTTTGCTGGGATTTTGGGGGAGGGAGGTTAATGCAGACAGTGGTGCTCAGCAGTAAGTATGAATCCCATTCCTAAATTAATTAGTAAAAGCACTTATGTAGTATTCATGTTAAAAATGTTTCTGCTATCAAGCCAACAACATGGAAATACAGGTAATATTTCACCTGGTTCTCTTTAGACCAAACTTGGATTTACAAGATAGTCTGTTCAGTGTCCAGAAAGCAGAAGAGATTTTGACTCCTGTCTTTCTTTTCTCCTTAGGGGGCATTTGTTTATTTCCATTATCCTATGGAAATACCCATTTAGGGGCTAAGTGTTATGAAGTCACACCGGTGGAGGAGATAAGTGGATACAAACTTCCTGTTACACAAGCTTCTTGACTTGATGTAGAAGTTGTAATGGAGCACGAGAAGTGCCAGAGTGAACCAGGCTCAAGTTTCAGCTAATTCTGTATCTTGTCACCACTGGTGTCTTCCACCAGCTGGTTCAAAGATGTGCTGGTTTAAATATATTGATTTTAAAATACCCATTTTTAGACGTAAAGTAGTACATTTTTCTGGCTGCTTATGAGTTGGCTGCACAGCCTACTTTTTTTCATGACCAGCTTACCTTCCTCTTTGGTTATTCCTGGGAGATGCTACAGAACAAGGATGAAACTGCTGTTACAGCTTCTGTTCACTTACTTAAGTTTTAAACTAAAGAAAGGCCTCTTTTTTCACTATGGCTTAGTTACTTCATAGCATGGCTCATATCTGAGTGTGACTTGGCAGAGCTCAGGTGGCAGCTCTTTTGCTGCTCTTGAGCATGTTAAGTGTGTGTTATCCCAGGACATCTATGAAACATGGAATTTTGTTGTTCATAGAATAATGACAGAAAGGGCTGAGCATTTAGGGAACTGATTTTAATTAAAACATGTTTATAGGCTTAGTAGGTCTCACCTGGGGACACATCACATCTATGACTGTCCATGAGTAATAAATAGCTTTGGGATTTATAATGAAAGGTTCTTATTTTCCATTTTCATTGTGCCGTATGCTGATCTTAACTTCTCTTGTGGTTTCAATTGCCAGTTCTTTGCTGATAACTATGAAATATAACTTGCTCCCCATCTCCCAGCCTCACCCAGCTATGCCTGACCTGGTATCTCTTCTCACAATCTCCTTTCAGATGTTCAAACCCCAGGCAGAAGGCAGGCAAACCTGGACACATTATCTTTACCTTTCACCGATCCCTGTTTCATCCTCTGGTCTCATTGAGCAAGACCTTGAACCATGTAATTATGGGCAGCAGAAACCAGAATTGAATCCGAGTCTTTCTTCTCAGAGTTTTTAAGTTATGTTCTATTACATTTTTGTCCAGCAGGACTTAAAACTGACTTGAGGGTTGGTTGTTTGTAGGAAGATATAAAAGGAATGGGGATTTTACTCTACTTTTAAGCCGCTGCTCTTGCTGTAACTCATTTATTTTTGCTTCAAATAAAGTGCAGCAATGAAACAAGTTCATGTGGGATTTGCAGTTCAGCATCCAAACATGAACTTTGCTTGCAGTATTCGTGGGTCTGTTCACTGTTATGCCAGTGACCAGTTGGAAGAGTTGATGAGCGTTAGACTTTTAAATATGTTGAGGCAAGGCTGCTGTTTAGTGTGCCAACAGCATATGCAGTAATTATGAGAGATTATGCCTGTTCTCAGGGGCTCATGCAAAACCCATACCAAAGAATATTGGTATGATGATGCTGATCCACTTTGAATGCCCATTTCCAGCAGTTTGAAATGCAGATAGAGATGAGTCTTTCTTGTATATCCCCCCCCCCTCCCCCCCCCCCCAGTTTCTGAATATAAGTGATTGGTAAATTTTCAGTTTGTTTGCATTTTGTCCTTATGTCTACCTCCTTCTTTGGCTCCATCTCTCCTGCCTTGTGAATCCTGACTAGAATCACTAAAGAGGGAGGCAACAGTTTTCCAGTTGCAGTTCATAAGCAAGGCATGTGCCCACCACATGAATACTGCAATGTTTTCAGTCGTACAGACTTTGCTATAAATAGCTCTAAGCTCTTTATATGTACTTCTCTTTAGGTTATCAGGGGACGTGTTTCAAATGAAATCAGAGACAGGGAGGCCACTGGGAGTCTCGTTGATACTGGTGGGAGAAAAAAATGCCTTGGGAAAGTTGATACCTGCACATGCAAGTAAGATGCATGGCTGTTGAATCATATTTAATGCAAATCATTTGCTGATTTGCATATTCAAAACGCATTCATTTAGATTTATCAAACCTGTGTCACCCTTAGTCCACTTGAGATACATACATAGGTTTTCAAATTAGTTTTTACTGTGCTGACTTGGAGGATGCTTGTGGTACTTAGAGGTGCCTAATTACCTTCTTAAAAGCACTTATTTAGATACCAAAGTAATATAGTTTTGAAAGCCCATCTGAGCTAACACACCACACCAAGAAATGTGGTCCTAAGTGGTGGCGGGCACTGAAGTCCTCAGTGTAGACATTGCTGTAGTTTGGGGCCAGCTGTATCGTATCAGATCCTCTCCTGTGGCATGTATTCATCAACACATGGGTTTGCACCATCTGCTGAGAACAAAACAAGCCAGACAAAATCAAAATAAAATTCTTCTGACTGGGTTCAGTGGAATGGTGTTCACTCCCAACTATCTGCAATAAAAAATGTTCATAGCAATGCATAAGAATTAGCACACAACTTCCCCAAAAGGTTTAATTAGTGTTACAACTGGGAGTAGGAAACTTCAAACTGGGACAATCTAATAGTGGTGTTTAAATAAAAAAGGATAGTGGTTTGACTAGTTTTAAGAGTATACAGATATCTTCATTTTTGCTTTCAGAATAAGTTATGAACTAATTAAACTGATTTTTGTCTGTGAAAATTATGTGAGTACTAAAGCCACATTTTTGAGGTTGGCTGGATGCTTGCACATAGAGAGGCTGCCAGTAGTTATGGTTGGGTTGTTGATCTGGTATAATTAAGCCCGGGAGCTGAGAGTATTATGAGGAGGAAACATTTTGGTCTTTCATTCTCTCTCTCCCTGTCTCCTCTTTTGACAGAGATGGGACTTGCCTCTCAGGAGTTTCCTTACAAGATGTGAAGGCCTAGTGTGGTGGTGGTGGGACTTTCTCATCCTCCCTGAGCAGGATTTCCAGTCCCAGTGCGACCTTACTTACTATTTCTGTTCCCTTGTGGGATGGGGTTGCTGTCTCGTGGCAGCAGCTACCTGTGCAGCAGCTCCATGCTGCTCTTTCACATAGACAGAGGGAAGGAGGAATGACCCTAGGCCCTGCTTTCTTTGTGCATCTCCAGAGATCTTGAATAAAGGTGTTTTCAAGTGCCATGAAGAGGGACAGGAGAATAAACGGGTAGAGCAGTGCAGAATAAGGTGAGAAACCCAAACCCAAGGCCTCCTACAAGACCAGGATCTTAGTTTCGATAGTTAGCATTACACACTGATGTACAGCAGCACATCAAGCTGCTCTTGTAATTATGATAATGTTCATCAGGAATTTAGTAAAGATCTAAAATGCTGTTTCTTCCTTCAACTGCTGCAGAAACCTTGTTTCCATCACAGCTTTAATCTGTGATGTTCAAGTTTCTGGCACTACCACCCCAAATCGTTCAACAATATTGGATTTCAGTCTAATGCTTTGACATTGAAATCATGTTGATGTCATC